ACCTGCCTGTATGGGCATGGCGTCGTGCATGAGAAAAGGGGATGCCAAGGATGCGAACGCTGAAACAATTACGTTGGCACGCGATTATCTACCGGAATTGCTACGACATTTTGGGTATGAGCCACGAGACGTCTACAACATGGATGAAACGAGGTTCCTTCCGGGACAACAACCACGCCGAAGCTACTCGGACGAACCTCTCTCAAGGGGACGCTTGGACAAGGAGAGTTTTACTTTGGCCCTTTGCTGCAATGCCAACGGGAGCAACTTACGGAAGCCCATTGTCCTCGGGAAGGCATTGAACCCAACATCTTTCCGAGGCGACTTTGACGTCCAAGAGTTCGTTTGGTACCGAGGCAAGAAGCGTGGTTGGATGACATCTCCGGTGAATTTTGCTTCAAAGAATAATCCTTCCATTTGTGGTACTCTCCTTGTTCTTACCTTTAGAGACTCCATGACTGTGCTATACTCCCCTTTTTGTTTCTCTCTATATCGGCATGCTACACATAAAATGATTTGTCCTCGTTTAATTTATGGAGCTCATGCATGTCTACCTCCCTTTTTCGGGTCTTCTCACAATGGTTGGAAGCCTTTGATAATGACAAGGCATTATCCAATGACGGAAGGTCATGTTATTAGTTGACAACGCAAGTTCCCACAAGGTCACCAATTTTACGGAGGTGGGTGACCTGTACAAGCTCATGGGATTCAACATCATCGAGCTTCACAATGTTTGAGTGATTTACCTCCTGCCGAATCGCACCTCCTACGTGAGAAAGGCGTTATTTCCACTCTCAAGATGCGATGTCGGAAGCTCCTAGTGAAATGGTTGATCGAGAAGTTGGAACAAAATGGGGATCGTAAGGAGAGGAAGAAACTGAGGTCAGAGCTGCGCGTTTCCATTGTTTGGATCAGTGGAGTATGGGCAAACATGAACCCTGAGATAGTGTGTAGGTGTTGGAGGCACGTGGGAATCATCCCGTTCTCATGGTTGGAGGAGTGGGGGCTTGACAAGATTTTCCAAGGAACTTCAAGAGACCCCCCTCAAGAGGATGTCACATCTTTGTCCAAGATGCTCAAGGCCTTGCTTCAAGAGCGCCCAATGACAGCTCACCAAATACGTCGAGTGTGACAATGTCTGTCAAAAATGTCCCCAAGACGAGGTGGAGGCAGCGGAAGTGCGGAGGAGTGTGTGCCTGCGCGGGCGCGGCTGGGGGCGGGCAGGGGGGCGCGGAGCTGCCGTCGGGTTTGCAGTCCGCGCGCAGTGGCCTGATAGTCGTAGGTGTTCTCATTGGGGAGGAGGATTGGGAGGAGGCGCGACTGCGCGAGCGCTTGAAACAGCTGCAGGCACCTTTGCCTTTGTCAAATAGCGTCCCAAAATTTTGAGGGTGTGAAATTAACGTTGAATAGGCGTAATTTCTGGTCATCCTCCGTGGATCATGGAGTGTAATTTCTAAGCACAAAAATGGCTTTCTCTGCAGGAATCCAGACTCACCGAGCTCGAACTCCAGGGCAGACGAAATATAGCTCCAGCGGGCAGGCCACGCGGATCAGTTCCAAGGTCAGTACTCCTCGCAACTCCTCCGTGCCTGAGCCCCAAGTGTGCTACAGTGTAATCCTTGGTCGTGTCGGAAACTCCAACGCCACGTTGCTGAACAGTATCCGAAGCCCGTCTTCACTTGCGTGTCCCCAGCCAAAAGTGCCGAAAACCGTGACGCCCAGCTACACGTGACTTTTGCAGCAGTAGGTCAGCTTTGCGCGCTCCTGGTGAAAAAAACCTATCGCAAGCTCGTCACCTCGTGACACTCTCCTCGCCTTTTTCGCCGTCGAATTGATGAACCCCGTCACCACGCTCAAAAATGTCTTCGCCGCTTGTCGGCGCCGTCAGTTGCCGCACAAAATACAACCGAGGTTGAACAGTGACGAAATCCAAAAAACCACGTGACAACAAAATCTGTCCGTTCCCATGGGGAGGGAGGATACGGTCGATCCTGAGTGTCCAATTTCAGGATTGATGGGGGATGGACAGTCGCCTCAGCTTCACTCAACCGAATGGGCGGTGGACCATCGCCTCAGTGAATATGATGGCTGTTGTTTTGTGGCAGCAGTAAATCTGAAGGCCGAACTTTGTTGAAACGATCGTAATTCACCCCGATTTTCGAAATTGCGAACTGCTACACTGAATGCCAAAATCAGCATCTTGTCCATAATGCCAAAATTGTAAAAAACACACGTGCGTCAGGATTACAGGGACCCTTTCACCAGGTCACGAGGTCATTTGCGACACATGCATAGACACGAAATGTTTGTGTCTCGCGAAAGTCAGCAAACTCCATCAGCGCCTTGACGAACGACACTTGGGTCTTCAAACCGCAATGCCATGCCGGTTTAGCCGTTGTGGTAGATACACCCATGTGAGAGTGCCATATTTCGCGAACGCCAGCGACCAGGTCTTTGTCGCAAACGAGTCTTGTCCGTCGATGCTGCTGGTTAAATTGTATCAGACCGTCGATGTTGCCAGGGTCTTTGAGGGAAACTGAAAAAGAAATGAAACACAGCTGCTCTCTCTTCCCTCATCTGAAGAAAGTCTTCCATCATTGATTCCGTAAGTACCTCTGAATTTTGCGTACACTCCTAGCTGCAAAACACCAGAACTGCTCCACCCAGTTTGTGGCCGCAAACCAGCTGAAACAATCCCAAATTGCAGCTTAAAAGTCGAACGCCACCACGAACATAGTGAAATCAGCAAGTGCTTCATCAAGTGTTGCAACCTCGTAATTACGTGGGTATTTTAAATTCCTCGCGTCGGGACCAGGTGTAGCGCGACCTAATATCACAGGGAACCTGGGCCACATCTTGGCTCCATTCGAAGCCGTAGATCACAATTCAGCTTCTCCAAATGCCGTCGATCTGCTTCGTGTTGTTACTTGCTGCTGAAATTTTTGCAACTTCTCCTGACAGTTTTAGCGCGAAGGTGTTGCCTAGAAAAAACTCGGGTACAATGCTCAGCAGCCAAAAGCACGTTGTCTCGCAGTTTCACTGACGCACTGTGTAGGTATCGCACAGCTCAGTAGGTTTCCGTGGCCCAAAATTTGAAGGATTTCCCATCTGGAACGACGTGACGTATAGCGACGCACTGACGTTCACCCATCATTGCGTCCATCCAGTTAAATCCTGAAATAGGTCCTATCCGAAACCTCAGAGTATAGCCCCTCATATTTTTTACACTTGTTGTAGGCTCTTGAATCATTCCAAATTTTCCCGTGACGGCAACACATTCCTCCATTTGTAAGAAAACCCTTGAATTTTCGACTCCAAACTGCAGCAAAAATCTTCCAACAACTTCCGAATAGTAGCGCGCACGCTCTGTCGAAAAGCTGCTGCTGTTGTTGCCCGCAGTTTTCCTCACGAAAATTACGAAGCTGTTGTCGAAAACTCGCCACGCCGATGTTCACCCATCGCCGCACCTTTGCAAAATTCGCGACACCAAGCTTCTTTTTTCTTCAAACGATCCACCAGTGCAGGGTAATCTGCAAGCTCACCCCTGTCATTCATCCATGACCGTCGAAGTATCATTAAACCCAAACTAGTTAACCTGGTGGTGGTGCTAAAGATCTGGGCGACCCAACCAATCAGTAGGGGGATTCGATATGCTACTGGCGCTTACCAGCTGTTCCCGATTGTTCTCCTTATTTGCTTCAGCTCTTGGACGTCGATGTTTAGTGGTAATCGGGCTTTGGCATGGAGAACTCGTTTTGCGATCACCACTAAAACAATCTCCTCGCCTAGGGATTTTTGCGAGCTCGTCGCTTCTTGGCAAGCTCCTTGTAATTTTCGTTGTCGAATCAATAAAACTCACCGCCATGGTCGAAAATGTCTTCGCCGCATGTCGACGTCAATAGTTGCCACAAAAAATACAACCGAGGTTGAGCAGTGAGGAAATCCAAAAACCCATGTGTCAGCAAAATTTGTCTATTCCTGGGGGGAGGGAGGATATAGTGCATCATGGCCATTCGAAGGCAGGGATCGAGTGGCGATGGTGTGGACACGCTATCGTGGTTGTTGCAGCTAATCATATGATATGACCGTGCCCTCTAGCCATCCCAATAAAAAAAATTATTGGGCGGCGGAAGCTGTTGCCTAGGAAAGTGCTCTCTGATTGCTAGGTGTTATGAGTGAAAACCCAAAGTAGGGTGGAAGTGAATATCGAGATTGGAAATTTACGGTACAATGAATGACAAGGCTGGATATAGGAACACCTTTGCGACTCTTAACTGTGTGATGCACAGGTTCGGAGAAGGAGCGCTTTGGAATGACGCGGAAATGGTTCGGTGTGGCACGTACTGGACAGAGCTAGGGCCTAGTCTGGTGACGTGTACGTCCGGTGTATGCACTAGCAGTGCGCCTCAATAAGGAATTGCTAATTCCTTACACACCAAGTTACCAAATTGTAACAATGAAACCAAGTGCTAAAGACCACGCACTGGTTGTTTCACGGTTAGAGTGGCTAGTTGCTAACTTGGTGACTCAACGGCAGTTAGGTGACAGAAGGGAGTGACAAGGCGGACATTCCGACACTGTCCAAGACCAATTGAACTTAGTATGAGGGTATCCCGTAGGTTCTTTTAGATCACACTTGCGGAGAACTCCATAGTTCGATCAAATGATATTGAGTGGAAAGATGGCAGCGATCGAGCATCACAAGGCCACCTCAGCGGCGGCATTGCCATGCTGAGCGATCAGTCGAGGGCTGACGGCTTCGCATTCAATCACGCATGTCGTATAGGGAGAATGCATCTGTTATAATCACAATAGGCTCAGATGTGCCTAAAATGAGAGAAATTGTGCACAGTCAGAATTCCGTTAGACAGCTTTAAATATTGATGCTGATCTGATCTGTGCCTTAAACAGTGATTTGTAAATTGAATCTGGAGCGCGTTGCTGTCGCCTATCAGCAGCAAGTTGAATAATAAAATTCCATGAAGATTTGACGACGCTATGGCGGATTGACTGGCAGGAGGTACAGCAGCCACCAGAGTCTTAGGAGTACAAAAACTTAGGAAGAAGAATTCGAGGTAGGGATGGTTCCCAGCCTCTACATATCCCAAGAGCCGAGGTCCAAGTTGGTGGTACACCACCACAGAGTCCCCAACCATGAGGAGACTTGAAACAAACCCAACAAGGGGCTACACCAAGTAAAATGTAACACTACTTGAAGTAGCATTACTATTTTCACTATTTTAATATTTGTCCACGTCCCTTGGGCTTGAAATCTTGAGCTCTTGTTCTTGGTTCAGCAAGATCAATTCTTCTTGAGATGATGAGGGCTTGCTGCACACACCTGCGATGAGATGGACACTTCACACTCGACAAAATAGAGAAAGCACATGCGACGCGCAAACGGCGCCTTGATATGCGAGTTGTGAAAACTCGCTAATGTCTTGACCGACACAGACCACATTGTGATACACTATCCAAACACACACACAAGCACTAGATATCAATGACATAGACTCACAAGTCATTCCATGCCATGCATGCACACACACAAACAAGGACGACAAGCCGAGTGCAAGCCATAGGGTTGCACCAATAGCATCATGCATCCTCATGTCATCTAGGGAGAATACATTCCGCATCCTCGTATCGTCCTAGTCTCAAGGCCATTCACACATTCCATTGGGCAAATCTGATGCTCCTCGCGTCTTTCGATCTCACCCTCATCCCCACCATGTGCGGCCGTCATTGCTGCCAACTCTCCGCTTGCCGATGCACGACGACATCTTGGTGGCCACCACACACCATGGACGGCGCGCGGTTCCTCTGCACCATCTGTTGTTGTACAATCTCACTGAGACACCCTCCAAGTCGCCGCACGCACCAGCGATCCCCAGATGTTCCCCCAGCTCTTGCACAATCATTGCACGAACAGCAGCATCTCATGCCACAAGCGTCCAGCAGCAAGCATTGCAACCCCCTCGTTTCCTTGAAATCCTCCCTCCTCGCCTATCCTGAATATTGTTTCCCACACCCCTGTTCCAGTAGGGTGGTTCCGGCAGGCGTTCTCCTATGCTTAACTCCCCGTGTCGCATTCGGCTTCGCGAATCAGTAGCCACTAAGCAATACCATGGGCTGTTGAATACCAATACACGTAAAACGGATCTCCAATTCGACCTCTCGCATATTGGCCAATACTCTGATTCCCAGGATTTCACAGCACAGCTCCTGGTCGACCAGGCGACTCACCCAAAACCCTCCCAGCCACCTTGGCTAGGGGAGTCACTGGCAGATTCACTAATCCCCCTCTTCTTCACATCCTCTCCTCCACCTCTTTCCCCCCCCCCTGCATTCTCCTCCGTTCTCACTTTCCTTTCCACCTGTGTTCCCACTCCTCCGATTCCATTTCCTTTTGCCCCCCTTTCGCTGACCCTCCACCCTACAATGTCGTCGCCCTTTCAACCTCCACCTCTCAAACCTGACAGTGCTGCTCACCTTGCCAATGCTGCCCCTCCTACGGTGATTGCTCTTGCAGATCCCCCTGCCGGTGCTGCTCCACTTGCTCCTGTGGTTCCTCCTGTGTTCTCCTTGCAACCTGCATACATCACCCGTGATCCACTGAAGGACGAGGCTGCTACAGCTACGCCTGAATCGGCAGCAAAAAGCGCGTTTAGAGGGCTGCGTTCGGTTGTATCGGCTGCGGTGTCTACAGACGAAGGGGGGGATACCAGGTCTGGTGAAGTTCTCACCTTGGAGACAACGGCTCGTGGGGCCGGCTGTACTGGAGGAGAAGGATGGATGCAATGAAACGAAGGAGACCTGGCAAGCATGCAAACACAGCTGCTGCTGCACGTGGGGAAGGAGAAAGAGGGCAGGCGAGAGCAACTGAGGAGAAAAGCTGGGAGGAAACAATGAGGAAGGAGCAAGAAAGGCTTGTGGGTGTTGCAACAGTATCAGCTTCAGCAGCAATAACAAAACCACCCTCGCCAATAGCATCAGTGCATGCACCAATTAAGACAAGATTCAACGGGGGGTTCGTTGACTTGCACTCTTCTCCCATACTGCCTTCCAGTGCTTGTTCCAGTGCAACCACTCTTTTGCACTCTGTTCTGAGCCCTTGCCACTCCACGCCTACTGTCACCAGCACTTCCAGCCACATTTACTGCTTCCTCATCCTCAGTCGCCTTATCACCTCCACCGAGATGCTTCCTCATTATCTGCATTGACACTCCAATCCATCCAGCTTTATCTGAGTGCAGCATCACGCTTCACATCTCAACCACCTTGCTCGCCCCCCATCTTCCCTTACAGGCGATTTCTCAACCACTTGTTGAAGCACCTGGCGAGACACGTGGCGGTGAACCTGAAGAGGCAACTGGGGAGGCAAGCGTAGAGAGATCCCATGTCAGGCATAGCCAGGACATGACGAGGCTGTGTGCCACACCTCAAGAGGACGATGAGGAACGCCAGATGCCTTCCCGTTGTGGTTTTCAGCGCTACCTGCCGATGCTTCCTTATGGATTCTAGGAGCCAGGGAATGCAGGGGGAGTAAGGGAGCAGTGAGGGAGAGGCAGAGGAGGAAGAGGCATGTGGGCAGTGTGTGGGAGGGCTCTGCAAGGGGCCTTAGAGGGCGTGGTTGGGGCACTGGTCCACTTCGTGGCTTGAGCTCTGGCTCTTGACTCAGGCTTTGATCCTATTGATAGGCGTTTTGGCGGTGACCTGTCCCTTGCTGCTTCCCCCTCCTTTGTTGCTGCGTTCACCCTCCCACTCCCCGCCCACTCGCCCCATCAGCATAAATTTGTCTTGACATACCCATTGCCCCCTTGTCCTTACGTGCCTGCTGGTGCTGCTGCTGATTCTGATGCTACTTCTTCGGCTGCTTCTGCTGCTGCTGCTGCTTCTTGCGCTGCTGGTGGGGCGCCAGCTGCTGTGGTTGATACTCCCCAAGTCCTGGTCTTGCTTCACCCTCTGCCGCTGCCCTTGCTGCTGAATGTAGACTCAGACTCCCCTATCCGCTTGTGTCGTACGCCTTCAGCGATAGATATTCTCAGAAGTTCTGAAGACTGCACTTTCTAGATTGGTTGATAATGAAGAGTGACTGCCATGTTCTATGGCACAAGCAGCTCTACACCATGTTTGCAGGTGCAAGCACCTAGCAGCATGGCCAGTAGCCACATGCTCTTGGTGCCCACATGAGCCAAAAGTAATGATGATTCTCAAGGAGAGGAAGGCAGACCATGTCAAGATACACGCTGGGGTCGCTCTTGGTCATCGGGAAAGAGTCACATGTGCAAAGCCTGGAGGGTTATGGGCACACTTACCCGCTACTTAACAAGCCCTTTGAACTCAATGGTTAGTGACTGAGTTCTGCCATGGTATCAGAGCCAAAGGTCTCAGGTTCAATTCCCAGCGTGCACCGGGGGGGTGGTAGCGCTGCTGAGGCGCTTGTGTCTTCCGCCTATCCCAGCGAGGGGGGTTGTCAAGATATACGCTGGGGTTGCCCTTGTTCCTCGGGGAAGGGTCACAGGTGCAGAGCTTGGGGGGTTATGGGCGCACTTACCCGCTACTTAACAATCCCTTTTAATAAATACAATCACGAGATATCAAACGTCCTGGGTGGTGACAAAACCACGAATAGAGTTACAAGCAACACCACTACTAACGTCATTGTACATACTGTTGAACGGAGCTAAGAAGCTAGCTAGGCATGAGAATGGCGAGATGTTTTAGCTAGGGAGAAAAGTGAGGAGAGCCATGTTGAAAGGAGCTAAGAAGCTAGCTAGGCATGAGAATGGCGAGAGGTTTTAGTTAGGGAGAAAAGTGAGGAGAGAAAGAGAGTTGGACTAGAAGAGAGAGGGATACAAGAAGGGTGTTGTACCATCTACAGTAGGATCCATTATAGGACACATAACACCTACCAAGCCTACACAAATATAAAGAAGAATAATATATAAGTTGACACATACAACCTATACATCCTCTCCAACTCTACACCATCTGTCAGTCCCGCCCCCCCGGGAACACCCAGAATTCGCAGACTCTTGAGCTCAGCGAGATCTTGTGGCAAAGCGTGCAGCTGCTGGCACCCATGCAGAGTGAGCTTCCTAAGCCTCGTCAGCTGAGCAAAGTTGGAAGGAAGGGACTGGCTGTCAGAACTCAGCCACTAACCACTAAGTTAAAAGGGTTTGTTAATAGCGGGCCAGTGCGCCTATAGCCCCACAGGCTCTGCACCTGTGGCCCTTCCCCGAGGATCTTCTCAAGGGTAACCCCATCGGGTCTCTCGACACTGGATGCCACACTTCTCAAGTCTAGCGTATTCAAGCAGACAAGCTGTGTGAGAGAGTCAGGGAGACGCTCCAGAGAAGAGTAGTTGTACAATCGCATCTCCCACATCCTCGATAAGGCTCCAAGGCCATCGGGGAGGGAGGTCAGATTGGGTGTTTGCACATACAGGGAGGTCATGCATTGAAGTTCGACAATGCTTGCTGGAAGATGCTGCAGCTCTGCAGCCTGGCAGATATCCAGCTGTCACAGCTGTGGCAAATCACACCCAAGGCTGTCTGGAAGCATCCGAATCCTTCTAGCCAACAAAGTTGTGAAGGTGCGTAACTGAGGGAAGGACGACAAGGGGAATTGCAGCTCCTCAGTATCACCCAATTCGAACTCCAACTTCTCCAGGCAAGAGAAACCGCTTCTGAATGACGGTCCTTGCTCCATACCAACCAGATTCAGGGTCAGCTTTCTCAGATTCGGCAGAACAGAGATGTCTGGCAGAGAGTTGACTCGGCTGAAGTCTCCCAAGCTGAGAGTCTCGAGAGAGCAGCATCGATTCAAGAATGCCAATCAGTACTTTGCACCGTGTCAACTTCAGCCACTTGAGCAGCTGAAAACCATCCAACCTCCGTGGAATCGAAGAGAGCTGCCAGCAAGAATCAACAGTCAGGATCTCAAGGCTGGTCGAAGCCGTGATCGACTCGGGGAGCGTCCTAATAGGACTGTGATGGATTAAGAGCTCTTGCAGGTTGCTCAGGCTCCCTATACCCAGGAGGAGCGCTTCAGGCCTGCACCCATCCAGTTCAAGTCTGGTCAGGGAAGTCAAGCGGGTGAAGGAGGGGGGAAGCGGCTGCACGAGGTTTTCATGTACGTCAAGCGTCTGGAGATTGCACAGCTCTCCAATGCCTTCAGGCAGAACCAGCTCCATGGAGTTCAGGATGCAGATGGTTTCAAGAGATGTTAGTTTGGAAAAGGCTTCTGGCAGCTGCTGAATCACGGTGCAATGAATGAAGAAAAATGTCTTGAGAGAGCGGAGATGGCAGAGCGAGTCAGAGAGGTTCGAAATATTGAGCTCATCCAGAATCAGGGTCCTTAAGGCAGGGAGATGACCCAAGTTATTGGGCAGGTTTTCGAATCTGGAGCACGTAGAACTCTTCAGCATTTCCAAAAGGCTGAGAGATGCTAAGCTTTCGGGCAGACGGGTTAAATAATTGCATTCGTAAATGGACAGGGTTCGAAGAGATGGCAGGAGCTCCCCAAAGTCATCAAGAAATCGCTCCAGCTGGCTACAACACGTTATCAGCAGTCGTTGACTGGTTAGCTTCGAGGAGGCCACATGAAGGGTGGTGAGAGAGGTCAGGTTCACTAGATCAGGAGACTCCAGTGGTGAAGCATCTGCTAAGACAAGAGTGTGCAGACCCGTCAGGTGGAAGAAGGAAGCCGGTAGCTGCGTGTCGGTGGAGGCAGTCAAGTGAAAGCTGAAACTTGAGGTGAAACCTTCCTTTCCGTCTCATCGTACTCTGCGTGGTAACTGATGCCAGGCTCAAGCCCAACCATTGGACATGTTTTGGAAAAGAGGCAGAAAATAACTTGACAGCTACGTAAGTAATCATAATTTCAATTGTTGTGCAACAAGATATGACAGCTGAGGGCGAGGACAGGCATCATGGCAGAGAGGGGCATCATGGCACGGGCTGGGTTCACAGCCCCGGAGGCTGCAGGGAGGGCGGGAGGATGGAGGAGAGGTGCAGGGGGAGCGAGATGACGGCGCTCTGAGCCGCGTTCATGCGGCTGCGCTGCTTCCACGCCTCCCACCACGGCCCGCCCCCCACCTCCACCGCTGCTGCCGTGCTCTCTGCCTCAAGAAGCAGCTGGTGGGAGGAGGGAGAAGGGGAGTGTGGCAGAAAGGGAGGGGAGAATTCGATAAGAAGAAGGGCGGGCATGAAGGGCGGGCATGAAGAGCAGGCATGAAGAGCGAGAGACAGCACAGTGCAAGCAAGACTGCCTTTCACATCCACTGCTGCAGCCGTTCTCTCTGCCTCCAGAAGCAGCTGGTGGGAGGAGAAGAGGAGAGGAGAGGAGGAGCGGGGCACGATGCCATGTGGCGGTGGAGGAGCGAAGGAGGGGAGGAGAGGAGTCGTCAATAGCTGCCCGGTTCAGCTCCTCAAGGACCCTCATGGGGAGAGGGATTCCGGAGAAGCAAGCTCTGAAATTGCTGCAAAAATATTCATGGAAGTTGGTCAGGACTCAGGGGGCAGGTTGAATACCAGCGGAATAAAAGAGGCAGAAGCACTCTGGCATGACAGTAAGCGCGACACTGAGAGGCACAGGCCTTGAAACACACGTCCCCCAACTGCCCCAAGCGCTGCCTAAACAATTCGTGTCTGCCCCAAATACCCCCGCCCTTAAACGAGTCGGGTTAAGGAGAAGTATGGAGAAAGGTACAACCACAGTGACACAAAACGATTCCCTCACCTGCCCCGAGTACCGCTGCCTGAGCTCCACCTTCACGCGCCCCTCAAACGAGTCCTTGCAGAATATCCGCATGCCCTCCGCTGTGGGCGCGCGGAGGGGCGTGCCGTTGTCGCCTGGCAGCGTGTGCGCCTCTACCGTTACCTGTGGAGGGGGGGTGGTGGGGGGGAATGGCAGGAAAAGTGTGGTCGCCAGTCTTTCAAACGAGTCCTCGCAGAATATCTGCATTCCCTCCGCTATCGGCGCTCTCAGCAGCATGTCGATGTCTCCCGGGAGTATGTGTGCCGCCTGCACTGTCACCCGGAAGGTGGGGGGTCGATGGGGCAGCAAGGGGACATGTGAGAGAGCTTGCAAGGGCGTGCTGTTGTCGCCTGGCAGCGTGTGCGCCTCCACTGTCACCTGCAACGGACGAGGGGGCAGCAAGCGGACATGTGTGGGAGGGGCGTGCCTGGTCGCCTGGCAGTGTGTGGTCGTACATTGTCACCTGCCGGACGATTGGATGGGAAGGAAGGGGTGATTAAGCGTTGGCAGAATGCCCTTATGCCCTCTACTGTCAGCACTCTGCAGGGAGGGGTTGCCGTTGCCGCCTGGTAGGGTGTGTGCCACCACTGTCCCCTGGAGTGGGATGGGTGGAAAGGTGGATGGGTGTGGGGAGTGACCAAGGGGGGAGAAAAGGAGCTTGCAGGGGCGTGCCTTTACCTCTCGGCGGTGCGTGTGCCTCCATTGTCACCAGGAAGGGCGGGAGAGGGGAGCAAGGGGAGATTGTGAGGTCACCTGCAGGGACACACCATCGTTGCCCGGCAGTGTGTGTGTCTCCACTGTCGCCAAACGTGGCGGACAGAAGGGGGGATGAGATAGGGGCATGTGAAGTGGGTCGCAGGGGCCAGCCAGTGACTGCTGGCAATGTGTGTGTGGGGCCCCCACAGTCAGCTGGCCCGCCAAGAGTCTCCCGTCACTTGGAGAGCGCTTTCTGACCGAGCTCACCATGAGCCACCCCGATCCACCAGCTGGCTCCCACTTATGGCAGCTGGCTAGCGAAGAGTCTCCCATCTCACAACCTCTGCAAACTCTCACCTCCAACTTCCCATTCTCTTTTCTGAAGAAAAACACTCGTTTTTTCAAATTCCCAAAAAACGCCTCACAATCCGATGCAACCTCTCAAATCATATTGCTGAGAAATACTTGGCTTCGATCCGTAGCAAACCCTCTAAGGGTTGATTTGACGTTAAGACTAAACTGAGACATGGGAAAGGATATGGTAAAATCTCGTAGTAAAAAATGTGAGAAACTGAAGTGATGATTGTATTAGGAAAGGAGCGGGTATACATAGGTGAGGAGCAGGAGGGGGGTTTGGTTGGGAGGTGACCACGATTATTGGTGACCCCAATAAGTTGAGTTGGTCAACTTATTGGGGGTCCAATAATCCTAGCCAAGATTATTCGTGGGTTCAACAACCTTGGTTGGGATTATTGGGGGTTCCAATCATTGGGAGTCCAACCAATTTGGGAACCCAACCCCCAACTTGGGTGTATACACCCTGGTGGGGTGCTTAGACAATGAAACGATGTAGGCTAATAGAATGAAGGGAGAATATTCTAACAAAAAGCCAAACCCAAAAGGCTCGCATGCCGGCAACAACAGGCCTTCATCAGCGCAACCTCTCACGTCACACTGCCCCTTCTCACCTCACACTGCCCCTTCTCACCTCACACTGCCCCTTCTCACCTCACACTGCCCCTTCTCACCTCACACTGCCTCTTCTCACCTCACACTGCTCCTTCTCACCTCATACTGCCCCTCCTCACCTCATACTGCTCGATCTCACCTCTCGCTGCCCCTTCTCACCTCATACTCTCTCACCTCATACTGCTCGTTCTCTGCTCGCATCCACCAGCTGCCCCACGGCTGCACGCGCCACTCAACGGCCCCTCTGTTGGGCACAAACTCGATGAACTGCCCCTCCCAGTGCAGCCCCACCTGTGAATAGGGGGAAGAGGGGGAAAGCGGGGTACAGACGGCAAACAGGGGGGAAGGAAAGATGGGGAGGGAATGGCCATGGCAAAGAGGGGGGAAGGGAAGATGGGGAGGGAATGGCCATGGCAAAGAAGGGGGAAGGAAAGATGGGGAGGGACTGGCCATGGCAAAGAGGGGGGAAGGAAAGATGGGGAGGGAATGACCATGGCAAAGAGGGGGGAAGGAAAGATGGGGAGGGAATGGCCATGGCAAAGAGGGGGTTAGGAAAGATGGGGAGGGACTGGCCATGGCAAAGAGGGGGAAGGAAAGATGGGGAGGGAATGGACATGGCAAAGAGGGGGGAAGGAAAGATGGGGAGGGACTGGCCATGGCAAAGAGGGGGGAAGGGAAGATGGGGAGGGAATGGCCATGGCAAAGAGGGGGGAAGGGAAGATGGGGAGGGAATGGCCATGGCAAAGAGGGGGGAAGGACAGATGGGGAGGGACTGGCCATGGCAAAGAGGGGGGAAGGAAAGATGGGGAGGGACTGGCCATGGCAAAGAGGGGGGAAGGAAAGATGGGGAGGGAATGGCCATGGCAAAGAGGGGGGAAGGAAAGATGGGGAGGGACTGGCCATGGCAAAGAGGGGGGAAGGAAAGATGGGGAGGGACTGGCCATGGCAAAGAGGGGGGAAGGGAAGATGGGGAGGGACTGGCCATGGCAAAGAGGGGGGAAGGAAAGATGGGGAGGGAATGGCCATGGCAAAGAGGGGGGAAGGAAAGATGGGGAGGGACTGGCCATGGCAAAGAGGGGGGAAGGAAAGATGGGGAGGGAATGGCCATGGCAAAGAGGGGGAAAGGAAAGATGGGGAGGGACTGGCCATGGCAAAGAGGGGGGAAGGAAAGATGGGGAGGGACTGGCCATGGCAAAGAGGGGGGAAGGAAAGATGGGGAGGGACTGGCCATGGCAAAGAGGGGGGAAGGTAAGATGGGGAGGGAATGGCCATGGCAAAGAGGGGGGAAGGGAAGATGGGGAGGGAATGGCCATGGCAAAGAGGGGGGAAGGGAAGATGGGGAGGGAATGGCCATGGCAAAGAGGGGGGAAGGACAGATGGGGAGGGACTGGCCATGGCAAAGAGGGGGGAAGGAAAGATGGGGAGGAAGTGGCCATGGCAAAGAGGGGGGAAGGAAAGATGGGGAGGGACTGGCCATGGCAAAGAGGGGGGAAGGGAAGATGGGGAGGGACTGGCCATGGCAAAGAGGGGGGAAGGGAAGATGGGGAGGGAATGGCCATGGCAAAGAGGGGGGAAGGGAAGATGGGGAGGGAATGGCCATGGCAAAGAGGGGGGAAGGACAGATGGGGAGGGAATGGCCATGGCAAAGAGGGGGGAAGGAAAGATGGGGAGGGACTGGCCATGGCAAAGAGGGGGGAAGGAAAGATGGGGAGGGAATGGCCATGGCAAAGAGGGGGGAAGGAAAGATGGGGAGGGACTGGCCATGGCAAAGAGGGGGGAAGGAAAGATGGGGAGGGAATGGCCATGGCAAAGAGGGGGGAAGGGAAGATGGGGAGGGACTGGCCATGGCAAAGAGGGGGGAAGGAAAGATGGGGAGGAAATGGCCATGGCAAAGAGGGGGGAAGGAAAGATGGGGAGGGACTGGCCATGGCAAAGAGGGGGGAAGGGAAGATGGGGAGGGACTGGCCATGGCAAAGAGGGGGGAAGGAAAGATGGGGAGGGAATGGCCATGGCAAAGAGGGGGGAAGGGAAGATGGGGAGGGACTGGCCATGGCAAAGAGGGGGGAAGGAAAGATGGGGAGGAAATGGCCATGGCAAAGAGGGGGGAAGGAAAGATGGGGAGGGACTGGCCATGGCAAAGAGGGGGGAAGGGAAGATGGGGAGGGACTGGCCATGGCAAAGAGGGGGGAAGGGAAGATGGGGAGGGAATGGCCATGGCAAAGAGGGGGGAAGGGAAGATGGGGAGGGAATGGCCATGGCAAAGAGGGGGGAAGGACAGATGGGGAGGGACTGGCCATGGCAAAGAGGGGGGAAGGAACGATGGGGAGGGAATGGCCATGGCAAAGAGGGGGGAAGGAAAGATGGGGAGGGAATGGCCATGGCAAAGAGGGGGGAAGGGAAGATGGGGAGGGACTGGCCAGGGCAAAGAGGGGGGAAGGGAAGATGGGGAGGGAATGGCCATGGCAAAGAGGGGGGAAGGAAAGATGGGGAGGGACTGGCCATGGCAAAGACGGGGGAAGGAAAGATGGGGAGGGAATGGCCATGGCAAAGAGGGGGGAAGGAAAGATGGGGAGGGAATGGCCATGGCAAAGAGGGGGGAAGGGAAGATGGGGAGGGACTGGCCATGGCAAAGAGGGGGGAAGGGAAGATGGGGAGGGAATGGCCATGGCAAAGAGGGGGGAAGGGAAGATGGGGAGGGACTGGCCATGGCAAAGAGGGGGGAAGGAAAGATGGGGAGGGAATGGCCATGGCAAAGAGGGGGGAAGGAAAGATGGGGAGGGAATGGCCATGGCAAAGAGGGGGGAAGGGAAGATGGGGAGGGACTGGCCATGGCAAAGAGGGGGGAAGGAAAGATGGGGAGGGAATGGCCATGGCAAAGAGGGGGGAAGGAAAGATGGGGAGGGACTGGCCATGGCAAAGAGGGGGGAAGGAAAGATGGGGAGGGAATGGCCATGGCAAAGAGGGGGGAAGGAAAGATGGGGAGGGACTGGCCATGGCAAAGAGGGGGGAAGGAAAGATGGGGAGGGAATGGCCATGGCAAAGAGGGGGGAAGGAAAGATGGGGAGGGACTGGCCATGGCAAAGAGGGGGGAAGGAAAGATGGGGAGGGAATGGCCATGGCAAAGAGGGGGGAAGGAAAGATGGGGAGGGACTGGCCTTGGCAAAGAGGGGGGAAGGAAAGATGGGGAGGGAATGGCCATGGCAAAGAGGGGGGAAGGAAAGATGGGGAGGGACTGGCCATGGCAAAGAGGGGGGAAGGAAAGATGGGGAGGGAATGGCCATGGCAAAGAGGGGGGAAGGAAAGATGGGGAGGGACTGGCCATGGCAAAGAGGGGGGAAGGAAAGATGGGGAGCGAATGGCCATGGCAAAGAGGGGGGAAGGGAAGATGGGGAGGGAATGGCCATGGCAAAGAGGGGGGAAGGGAAGATGGGGAGGGAATGGCCACGGCAAAGAGGGGGGAAGGGAAGATGGGGAGGGAATGGCCATGGCAAAGAGGGGGGAAGGGAAGATGGGGAGGGAATGGCCATGGCAGAGGGGGGAAGGGAAGATGGGGAGGGAATGGCCATGGCAAAGAGGGAAGATTTGGTCTGAAGAAGGCTCTCGAGCCGAAACCGGTTACCATCAATTTTTCACAGAGTTTTTCAAGCAAGCCTCTACAAAATTTTAATTAAGCGTTTCTAGTTGCTGCCACGTAAAGACTTATGGCACCCATGTGATGTTCACATGGCCATGGCAAAGAGGGAACAAACGGGGGGAAAAGGGGAAGCGGTGGAGCATGCTGCCAGTGCTGCTTGGCACGAGCTCTGAACTGCCCCGGCCATGACAGCTCGACCTGCTGGGTCACTCAAATCAGAGTTGAATGCGAGGCGAATAGGGGGCGAATAGGGGGCGAATAGGGGGCGAATAGGGGGCGAATAGGGGCGAATAGGGGGCGAATAGGGGCGAATAGGGGCGAATAGGGGGCGAATAGGGGCGAATAGGGGCGAATAGGGGCGAATAGGGGGCGAATAGGGGGCGAATAGGGGGCGAATAGGGGGCGAATAGGGGCTGTTAGAGATAGGCTGCAATTCGGTTGGCACAATTTTGTGTGTTGACACTTTGTTGGTTTTAGGGATACTCATATTTGTTAGGTTGGGTGTAGCTATGTTTTCATCCCCAACCTATCCCAACCCAATCCATCCCAAATCCCCACGATTTGGGAGGATTCCCTTGGGATTCCCTCCGATTCTCCCTTATCCCTTCCCATCCTCTCCGATGCTCGGTACTTAAGGATGTATGCTCTTGCTCATTTCAATCAATCAAGTTCTCAGTTTCTGATATGGTATCAGAGCTCGTTTCCGCCTAAGCGGCTCTTGATCCTCTCGCTCCGTTGGAGCCTAGCATTTGCGTCTTACGACGCAAAGCTTTTCTAGTCGCCTCAACTCAGCGCGGCGCTTCTTTTCGGGCTGAAGCCCGTCGCCCCGCATCTGCTCGTCGCACCTGATCGGGCTGAGCCCGTCGCCCTGCATCTGCTCGTCGCACCTGATCGGGCTGAGCCCGTCGCCCCGCATCTGCTCGTCGAAGCTGGACGGGCTGTCGCCCGTCGCCCTTGCAACAGCGGGGGGGTGCAGCGGCGAACCGGAAAGGGGGCAGCGGCGAAGCGGAAAAGGGGGGGTCGCGGAGCAGCGGGATTGCAGCAGCACATCGCGGGTTTCCATAGATTTTTGGCGTTCAGATTTCCCTCTTTATCGGCTATTCCTCTTCTCCGAGTGTTGAAAATCCGCAAAGGGAAACCCTGTTTTTCGCGGAGCCCGCGCTGCGCGCAGCTCGAAGGGTCCTTGGAGCATCATGGCGTATCCTTCCGCGTCTCTCTCAAACCCGATCACTCCCTTGCGCCTCGACCCAAATGGCTCGAGCCCGAACTTCAAGGAGTGGAGCTATGGGGTTGATAAGCATCTCCTAAGCCGCAAAATTGAGGGGATTTGCCTCAAGGATGTCCTCCTCAATCGCGGCAAAGGAAAGATGCCGATCCTTCCCAAGAAGCTCTCGGCCACAGCCACAGGGGAAGAGTTAAAAACCCATGAGGAATCCATGTCCAAGTATGAGGAATCTTACAGCGTGTGGGAGCAAGCCGACGCCGCTATCATTGGCGTCTTCGTCGGCACTACCCCTTCCGAGCTCGTCAAAACTTACCATAACTACCCCTCCGCGCACGCCATCTGGGAGTACCTCAACGACCGCTTCCTCAACAAAACCGCTGTGGGGGTGGCGATCCTCATCCCCCGCATGTTTCAAGTGCGTCTGGAGGAGTG